AAGTCGATGTTAGGTCGAATGTAAAATAGCCGTTGTTCCGAAAGAAAAATATTTTACGTGAACGCATCTTATTTTCTTTGAAAAGAAGAAAAAAATTGTTCTCGTCTTTAACAAAAAAGACTATTTTATTTTTTAATTTTTTTTTTTTTTTAATTAAACTTAATAGAAAAATTTTACAATTTTCATTTCAGCATTTATTCGTTATTGCTAAATATATTGTAATTTTTTTATTATGTTTTTTCTACAATTCATGGATTTATGTTTGTTTATTACTCATATACATTATAATATCTGAAAATGCTAAAAAAAAAAACCAGACATTTTAAAATAGGAACAGTCGAATAGCAATAACCATTTTCTTTGACAGAGGAAAGAAATGAATATATGTATTACAGAAAATCGAATATTTATATTTGTATTAGTCATCTATATTATAATACAATTGGGAATACTAAAAAAACAGAAATTTTTAAATAGGAACAGTCGAATAGCAATAGTCGTTTTCTCTGACAAAAGAAAAAAATATTTGTTGCCTTTGACAAAAATGATAAATTTCTTACATTTTTACTAAACGAAAACAAAACAATTTATGATTCTCTTACAAATACGTTTTTGAACTGTGCCTTTTTTTTACAAATGAAGGACATATATTCATATATTACTCGTTTGCGTTATAATATCTAAAAATATTTAAAGAAATATACAATAGATATTAAAGTACAGAAAATCGATTAGCTATTTATATTTATATTAATTATTTGCATAATAATATATTTGAAAATGCTGAGAAAAAATAAGTATTTTAGAATAAAAAGAGTCGATTAGTGACAAAATAAGAATGATTTGTTTCTTCCGATATCAAAAAACTTGAACTTTATTAAATTAGTATAGGAACGATTTTCTTCTATTCTAAAACAGAATAAAATAAAGAGTTTATTACATTTACCTCTCATGTTCCTCTCACTCTCTTTAAATACCTATATATATATATACATTACATAACGGTCGCAATATTATGCGACAGAATGATTAAATAATACCTAGGTGTAAAAAGAAAAGAAAGGAAGGGAAAGAAAATTAAAAAAAAAAAGAAAAAACTATAAAAAATAAACTATAAAAAATAAACAATAAAAAATAAAAAAATGAAAGAAAATAAAAGGAGAAAGAAAAAATCAAGGAAAGAACCACGAAGCATAAGTTCAGCATATCTAATCTTATCGCGGTCAACGTTGCTTAACAAACGTCGTCCCATACTTCGGCTTCGTAGTTATCCACCCTCACGAGAACTCGTGCGCGTGCTCGCGCTTACACTCACGCTCACGCCTTGAACATTGAAAATGTTCTCTCTGTTATAAGCAAATGTTATTACAAACGCAAATCTATTACGTAAGTAGTAGGTATTTACATACATAAATACATGCATAGATAGATAGATACATAGATAGATACATAGATAGGATAGAACTCTAAAACGTCGTCGGAGGAGTGATATCTTGAATTTTAGAGAGGTACTCTGAATCTCCCTTTCTATTGATTATTACACATCTATGTATCTACCTATGTAACTACACATATATATGTAAGTACTTACATACGCGTAAGTAAACTTATACATAATGAGTCACATCAATACGTAGTAAATATCTATCTCTTAAAAAGTTATTATTTCTCTAACTTTCAAAGATAATTTGAAAAGATCTATTAATCTTATTATTAACTTTTAAAATTTCAAAAAGACAACATATTATATTTGTAAGCTTACACACAAAACTAAGTGTTTGATTTTATTAACTTGCCTTACTTCAAATGAACTAAGTAAGTAAATAAGTACTTATATATCGTGACTCATTCTTTATAAAAATAAATTATACAAAACAAAATGGCAGAGATTGACAGATAGAGAAAGAGAATGAGAGAGAGAGAGAGAGAGAGAGAGAGAGAGAGAGAGAGAGAGAAAGAGAGAGAGAAATAAAAAAGAAATAAAAAAGAAAGTAATTAAATTTATTTACAAGCACTGAATTAACACACTAGTTAAATATTCGATTGGAACGGTTATAACCTAAAAAAACGATTATAATCTAAATAATATATATCTATTCGATATAAATAATATAATGATAAAACTATTTAACGTAATAATATAATGAAAAAAAGAGAAAAAAAAGAAGAGAAAAAGAGACATAAAAAAGCGTGCAATACACACACGTAGAGAGTTGCACACGTACAAGAACTTTGGTCCCGCCTACACGAGCCTTATTCGTGGCCGCAATGGCCGCTATCCGATTCTACGGCTCTTCAGGAGAACTCAGAAGAAGGTGGAGACGCGTCTGCGCCCTCTGTTCTTCTTCCCTCTCTCCCTCTCTTCGTTTTTCTCTCTCTCTCTCTCTCTCCCCCTCTCTCTCTTCCTCCCTCTTCAACATCGTTCCTCTTTCGATTTCTCTCCCTTTCTTTCTTTCTTTCTTTATTTATTTATTTCCACCTTTTCTCTTTTCTCTCCTCTCTCATCCACTCAAGTCGTCTTTATCCTCTTTCTCCCTACTCTCTTCCCTCCTTCCCATGGCCGCTCTACCCTCCCTCTATCTCTCTATTCTTCTCTCTTTTTCCTCATCGTTTCATTTTCTTTACTTCTACTCTCTCTTTCTCTCTCTTTCTCTCTCTCTCTCTCTCTTTCTCTCTCTTTCTCTTTCTTTCTCTTTCTCGCGCACGCGAGCCATACGTCCGACACGACCATAAATAACCAACCCTCGGCTCTTTGGAGGCCGGTTCCATCCTTGGATCCCAGCGGTCGCAGAGGGCCGACTAGTGGAACGTGCCGACTATGGCGGCACTCGGCTTTTTTTATTCTTCTTCTTCTTCTTCTTCTTCTTCTTCTTCTTCTTCTTCTTCTTCCTCTTCTACTTTTTCCTCCTCTACTTCTACTTCTTCTTCTGCAAAATCCGTATTCAAACAATGAATACCGTAGGCGGCATTACGATTTTCATAGAATTTCTTTACGTCTAAAACGATTTGCCATTTGTTCGCTAAGAAGTTTAAACTTTTTCTTATTGGACCAGTTCCAATAATATCCTCAAAGATATCGAATCAGATTTATTTCGATTATCTTGATAAATTTCATTATTTCTCTTTTTATCAAATCATGATTTATGATCGATTCTCTAATTGAAAATATAGATATATACGTATTTGGTATATACAAAAAAAAAATAAAAAAAATAAAAAAAATAAAAAAAATAATAACAAAAAAGAAACAATTGTTTGTACGAATTATATACCTCTGATTCAACGTTGAAAAAAATATCATGGCTACGTACTTTCTTTGAAAATTCGCAATCACAAATGAATTGAAGAGTTCTCACGATTGCAACAAAGTATTGCTTATAAATACTTTCGATAGTAGTTTTTTTTCAACCATTTCTGGATGATACAATTTAACATCGAAAAAATATTATAAAAGCAGACTTTCTTTTAAAATTACAGTCGTAAACAAATGGAAAGAGATTTTACGATTGCATGAAGTAATTACTTACAAATCCTGTAATGTCTTTTTCTCGAGCGTTTTCGAATTACACAGCTCAACTTTAAAAATAAATGAGATTTTCTTAAAATTGCAATCGTAAAAAAATCAAGGAGGTTTTACGATTGTCTGCATTATATTGCGACAAGTACTTACAACTCCTTTTCTCGAATATTTCTGAATTATACAGTTCAACATTGAAAAAAAAAATAATAACAGGAAACTCTCTTTTAAAATTGCAATCGTAAACAAATCGAAAAGACTTTACGAGTATGTGAAGTGTATAAACACCTACGATATTATTTTATTCTCGAGCATTTCTGAGTGATATAATTCGATCATTGAAAAAAAAAAACAAATTATAGTAACTGCAAACTTTCTTTTAAAATTGCAATAGTAAACAAATCAAAAAGACACTTTCGTAAGAAATAAGTAACAAACACATGCGATATTTTCTCGATCACTTCTGAATAATACAAATCAGTTTTTGCAAAGAAATAAAAATTTTGTTTAAATTGCAATCACAAAAGAATCGAAATAGACCCCTCACAATTGCAAAAAGTATACAAGCCCTACAATATTCTTTTTGTTTTTTTTTCTTTTTCTTTTTATCTTTCTTTTTTTTTTTGTTTTTTTACGAGACATCCTTGGTCCCATGAACAACCCACGCCATTTCTCATCCTACGTTTGTACTCGGACACGACGGCGCGCATACGCGACCGCTTATCGGAGCTGTAAAGAGACCATTAGCATTATCTAGTATAGGTTGTACTATTAGTACTTCCATACTCTTGCCCTGTGCCCGCAGTACCGGGCGACGTTTATCGAGTCGCATAATGGAAATCGCTTAGCGACTGTGAAAGGAAAAAAATAAGAAAAATAAAAAAGAGGAGAAGAAAAAGAAAAAAAAAATGAAAAAAAAAATTACTAATGTTGTTTACGTTTCTTCGACTGTGATAAATGTTAACGTGAGCAACGTGAACTTGGCTTGTCCAGTGATATACAAACCTCCGGTATTCCAAATGAATAATTATCTACGAAAAATTTGTTCCAAACTTTTTCGAATTCGCGATTCAATTGACCAAGAAAAATTATTAACTCGATCGTTATTATACTTATATACTTTCATAAATATTACGTACTAATTATAACTCTGTTCATATCTTGAAACCCATCAATAGATTTTATCTTTATAATTCTATTGAAAATAACTCAAAAAAAAATTATTCCACTTCATATATATGTAGATATCATATATCTACCTATTGTTATGTATCTATATCCATACTTCGTCCTATTTTGTTTTTCATTCATATTCATTACAAATTCATGTTATTTATTGGCTAATGCAAAATTATATAATTAATGGTAAAAACCACGTTTGGTATTTATTTATTTTGTTTTTCGTAACTCATCCTATATTTTATCTGCGATAAAAATAAAATAAAAAAGTCAGAAAAAAAATAAAAATGTTTTATTCTGACAGATGCCGTGGTCGTAGCTCTTGGGAAGGATGTTCCACGGGGGCGGAAGTGGCGGGTACGGCGCAAGCTCCGACTATCAGCAACAATCTCAGCAACAACAACAGCAACACGGACAACAACTGCAAGCCCCCGTTTACGTACCTTCGTCCAGACCAGCAATCCCTTCTGCAGCCACGGCAGCCCAATATCATTCCTTTGCCGGTTCTGCTTCACCTGCGTGGTAAGTTGGATTTTTTTTTTTTTTATAAATCTTAATCATGAATCCCACGGTGACTTATAAACGAAAAAGAAAAAAAAGACAAGAGAACGATTGATCTAAACAATTAATCCATAATCAGTAACGCCATGTAATTTTGAAATTATACACTTTTATATATTTGCATATGTTATATGTTCCTTCTTTTTTCTTTTTTTTAAACACTTTTTAACTATATATTAGTTATACATAGTATAATATAATTATTTAAGTAATACTATGACTGTACAATATATTATAATATACTTTAATATTTATAAATATTACAGTATACAATATAGTATAATATTTATAAATATTACAGTATACAATATACTATAATATTTGAATCGTAAAAGAAACTTGATTTATAAAGTATCATGTTATTATTAATATACAATTATTATAGAATAATAATTGTGCATATACTTTTTATATATAACTATTAGTATATAATTGTAATTAATAATTATATTAATATATAATTCAAATAATATTAGGTTCATTATATTGTTAAATATTCAAATAAATAATAAATGACGATTTATATATATATATATATATATATATATATATATATATATTATATATATATATATATATATATATATATATATATATATATATATATATATATATATATATATATTGTATTTATATATATATACATATCAACTAACTAAAAAATATCAAAAATAATATAAAAAGAAAAAAGAAAGAAAAAAGAAAGAAAAGAGATTTAAAGATATTTACCAATCTTTAAGACAAATATGATTTTTGAAGGGAGAAAACGGCGTCTTGGCAACATGGCGTCGAAACGTACGCTGCCCACCATGCATTGGCTGGTCACACGAGTGCTTCCAGTGCAACGATGGGTCCACACACTGGTCATGCTCATCCTCATGCTGGCCATCCTCATACGGCACATCCCCATTCTACCCTCGCAGCGGCTGCACCCTTTTATGCCCAGAATGTCGCGATGATGTCCTCATGGCGTGCTTATGATGGCGCTGGATTTCAACGTGCTTCGCCATACGGTACGTTTCTTTCATTATTTTTATTTAATTACAACATTCATTGCACGTTTTCTCATTTCTTTTTTATTTATTTATTTATTCGTTTATTTATTTAACTTTTTTCCTTCGGCATCTATCAATATTATTTATTGCGTATTGATTTATTTTATTTCAAATATTTTCTAAGATAATATAAAGCAAATAAATATTTCCACAGACATTTTTAACACTTTATAACTTTAACGATCGCTATACATACATAATAATATATATCAATTTATTAGCATATATATATATATATTATTTATTGGTATATAAATAATCACGGAAAGGATCATCCTCATCATCATCATCATCATCATCATCATCATCATCATCATCATAATCTTTAAAGAGATTGTGAAAATTTTCTCTTTTCAATCCTTATATGCTATTTCTCTAATCTTACACGTTACTTTACTTATCTCAATACCATAAAAGCATTACACCAACGATCATTTGCCTTCTCTTAGACTAGGATATAACCTAACGTACAGGTTTAAAGTTTCAGTTATTTCTTAGCGAGTTAAAACGTAATGGAAAGAAATCGATGTGCTTCCCGTCGCACAACTTCCGTACCGAACTCGAAACAACCGACGGCTCGCGAAGAGTTAAAGTTGCATATCGTTTCCACGACACAACTCACATGGCAATACGCGATAAATGAACGAAACTTTTACACGGACTACCCGTATATCCGCTGATAAGATATACGATGCGGCCGTACATACTTGGTGATTAGTTTATCTCGAAAAGTTTTGGAAGATATCGCCAGTAACGCGAAAGAAAAGTTACCTGTGAAATTTCAAAACAAGTAACCGTCTGCCAATGAACGATCTTGATAACTTAACATCTAATCAATGGAGGATTAAACTCGTTTCTTGTTTCTTTTTTTTATCTTTTATTTTCTTTTTTATTTTTTATTTATTTTTTTATTAATAATGTTTCTTTCTCTTAATCTTCTATTATTCTTTTATAAAGAATATTTCTGACACAGTCTTTATTGACACTTAACGATAACTCCTATTATGTTAATAAGTTTAACCTTAACGTTAAATTCTAATTATTAGATTAATTTATAAATAACCGTCATTATATATATATATATATATATATATATATGTAGATAAATAATTAATTACAATAAAGTCAACACAGTTATTTCAGATGATTATAATTTAAGAACGAAATTTCTAATTTAATTGTTATTATAATTCATAAATAAGTCCTATTTTGTTTATAATTAACTTCTTATGTATGAATTAATTCATTACGATTCAACTATTTTTCTTATTTTATGTTCAACCATTTTTTGTAATTTATCATATTTATTTGTAAAAACTATCAGAAAATTAATTTTCATGAACAAAGTCTCTAACAAAGAATAGAATTTTGAGGTTTCAAACTTGAACGATTTCTCTAAAAGGATATAGAACTTTAAAATGCAACTTCTATGAGCAAAAGTCTCTAGTAAAAAATAGAATATTAAAGTCTCGAATTTGAAAGATCTTTCAGAAAGGATTTAGAAAATAAAGGAAACCTATAGAATATACAATTTCCATGAACAAAAGTCTCTAACGAAGCTTAAAATGTCGAAAACTCAAATTTGAACCATACTTTAAGAAAAGATTTCGAACTCTAGAATGTAACTCTTCATGATTAAAAGTCTCTAATGAAGAGTAGAATGTTGAAGTCTCAATTTAAAATAATTCAGAAAGGTTTTAGAACTCTAGAATGTAATGTTTATGAATAAAAGTCCCTAGCAGAAAATAAAATATTAAGGTCTCCAGCTTGAATGATTGAGAAAGTGTTTAGAACTCTAGAATGCAACTTCTCTAGACAAAAATATTTAGCAAAGAGTAGAACGTTGAGATCTCGAGTTTGAACTATTCCCCGAGTTTGAACCCCAGAAAGGGGAATTTAGAGTTACAGAATGCATTGAGAAGGGAAAAGACTCATAGAGATTCGTGTTAAGGGAAAAGTAGCGTAAAAGAAAGACTGTCTTCTTTCTCCTCGTATGGACGAGGTTGACGTCGGTTTAGCACAGCACTCGGTAGGCCATGTGCGACGGATAAATGATAGCGGTCTCTTTGAACCAACTTGGCCTCGAACGCCGCGGTCAAGTGTTTCACGTTGCTGAGGCTTTTCTCTTCGCCAGAGACCGCGGCATCTTCGAGTAAAAGACCATCGGCAGAAGCTTCTCTCTCCTTCTCTTCTCTCTCTCTCTCTCTCTCTCTCTCTCTCTCTCTCTCTCTTGCTTTTTTAGTTCTCTTTCCTTTGCTAGTTAGCTAGCTCGCTAGCTGGTTCCATTCTGCTCTCAGTAGAGTGCACGAATCGACCGTAAATCTTTCGAAGCAGCAGCACTCTCTCTTTCTTTCTCTCTCTTTCTTTCTCTCTCTCTCTCTTTCTCTCTCTCTCCCTCTCTTTCTCTCTCTCTCTCTCTCTGACTTGTCTATGTTTAGAGCACGGCAGCGTATCGCACCAGGTCGTAACTCGAAACCACGATAAACGCGAATAGTCTTATCCTGGCTTTTCACCGAAGTACAAAGACTCCCCTTCTAGGCTTAAACACAATCCAGACTTCTTCTCCTTGGAATTGATCGAATTTTGTGTATGGTAAAAGGATTCTTGAAATGTTAGTTCAAACTTTAGCTGCTGATCGTATAAATCGATAATCAGAATGATAAAAGTAACATAATAAACATTATAAATTTTAATAGATTTCATTTGAAACTCGTTAAGATTTACGTTTATTGATTTTGAAGGGACATCTTGTACTTTTGAAAATTTAATTAAGTGATAACTATTCAAAATTAAAAAGAAAAATATTTATTAACAATAACATAAAGATTAAATCGCTGTAGAACATTTGATATAACCAACGACATTATTTATTCTAGACACGGCGATGGACTTTCAATTTGGCGAGGGTCGAGAGTGCGTCAATTGTGGGGCAATTTCCACACCGTTGTGGCGAAGGGACGGCACTGGTCATTATCTTTGCAACGCATGCGGGCTTTATCACAAGATGAACGGCATGAATCGACCGCTCATCAAACCGTCAAAACGCCTGGTAAGTTCATTGGCAAATGAAAGTGCCGGCTGATAATTTCACTTACGTTCAAAGTAGTCAAATCATTAATTATTATCGATTAAAAACTATATACTTTCTGTAGAAAAAAAAGATAATCATTAACAACAACTAGCAACGAATTGTAATAATAACGGTTATCTTAATAACATTTATCTTAATAAAAATTATCTTAATTATCTTTTGCCTGATTAAAAAATTAAAAAGTTTTCTCTATTTTTTACAATATGGACTCCATTTAGAAAGTAAAACATTTAATATATCTATATTGCGTATCAAAAATTTGTTTAAATAAAAAATATTTTTTATTCGCTTCCCTCTGAAACTTCAATAAATGTATAAAAGTTGAACAATCTGATACACCAACATACGTTACAAATGGGACAGATATCTGAATTTCAGACGGCTACGAGACGGCTAGGATTATGCTGCACAAATTGTGGTACACGAACAACGACATTGTGGAGGCGTAACAACGATGGTGAACCGGTGTGCAATGCATGTGGCTTGTATTTTAAATTACACGGTGTTAACAGACCATTGGCAATGCGAAAGGATGGAATTCAAACGCGGAAACGAAAACCTAAAAAGACACCAGAACCAAATGCCAGATCTAGTACGGCGGAACACGAGACAACAGCATCGAGCACGTCGTCACCTTCTATGGGTAAGTTTTATTATTTCTCACAAATTTTTATTCAAATAATATATAATTTTTTTTTCTTTTTTCTAAAAAAAAAAATATTATCGATCCTCATTAATGAAATTGATCTTGATGTTTAACAGATCCTAAAAGTAATCAACAACAACAACAACAGCAGCAGCAACAACAACAACAACAACAGCAGCAACAACAGCAGCAACATCAAATCGACGTGTCTAAATCGTCGAGTTCCTCGACGCCGACTGAAAGACCTGTATATCTTGGGCACACGTCCTTGCTAGCAACCGGAAGTGTACCTGCCGTGAAAACGGAACCTCGAAGTTGCGACGGAATTGTAAGTCAGCCGTACTCATCTTATTATCAGCATCCACATCAACTTAGCGTACCAACGAGTGAACATCAACAACAGAGTTACTATGGAACTCAGGAAGCGCCTTATCATCATCAACATCATGTCACAGCTGCTGCTAAGCTTCTGGCATCATCGTAACTTAAATCCTTAAGCGTAAGGATTAGAGAAAACTAAAGTTCTGCGTAAAATAAAAGGCTATTTTACAATTGGACAATTGCGTACCGAAGAATAAGATGAATCATCGATAAAAGAATTCGATAATCACCAGTTTAAAGTGCAATCCAAGCTAACCGCTTGCTTAACGTGATCGAAGAGAATGTAAGAAAGAAGAAAATCCAAAAATAAATAAATAAACATGAAAGGGATACGATGAAAAGGAGAATTAATGTATGTACATAAATACGTACATACTTACTACGTGACTATATCGCGTGACAACGGAAACGAAGATTCGAAGGATAACTCTCGATAGACGTTTAATGCGAGAACATAACGAGAATGACCTTGGATCTCTAGTCAACGATCGATAACGATGGATTGAAGGCGATCGTTTCGAAATTTTACATATGAAAATCATTTCAACAGCTTTTCAGAAATTGATAAGGGAACTACATGAGCATTAGACTTATCATTACGTAAAAAAACACATATACATAAACATACATAAACATACATAAACATACATAAACATATATACACATACACACACGGAGACTATCTATATTTTATTCGGCTATTCGATATTTCTATGACACACATTGTACGCGATCATCCTTACGATAGTAAAAGCAAAAAAAAAAGAAAAAAAAGGAAAAAAAAAGAAATGCTTTAATTGTAAATAGCTCATTTATCTGTAATGAATGATATGAATTAATCGTGTGTGTTTAAAATTCGTTCAAATTAAACAGATTATTATGATCTATACTTGCCATTCAAGATCATATTTGGATAATATAAATAACGAATAACTCGCACGATGAGTACTTAATTGTAAATATAATTCGCTCTAAGGATGTTTAACACAGCTTTAGAATTAATCGAGACTTATTCGACCCTTAAATTGGTTTCGTTTTTTATATACGCGATTACGGATATATATAGTATATACGAAACCTTTTTCGATGACTTCACAATGTGCATTATCAATTTATAACAATAATCTCTCGTTCGTGTAAGCAATAAAAAGAAAGAATGATTGTGCGCGCGTGTGTGTGTATATGTGTATGTGTATGAAAGAGAGAGAGAAAAAGAGAGAAAAAAAGAGAGAAAAAAGAGAGAGAGAGAGAGAGAGAGAGAGAGAGAGAGAGAGAGAGAGAGAGAGAGAGAATGAAGCGGACGTAAAAGTCATCCCAACTAATTTATTGACTCATAGTCCAAAGGTTGCCTCACTTTTCCCTATAAGCTGTAAAATTATAAGCGTAATGGAGTCTGAATTATAATTGTGCACAGTTCCTGTATAAATTGTTTCCTGTTTTTCTTCTAATTTTTTTTTTCATTTCTTTTTTTTCTTAATTACTAATTTCATTTAATTTAATTTAATTTTATTTTATTTTATTTTATTTTATTTTATTTTCATTTTATTTGATTTCATTTTATTTTTATTTTTATTTTCATTTTCATTTTCATTTTCATTTTATTCTGCGATAGTGAAACAATAAAGAGAGAATACTTCTGGCGTCATTCAAGAAGACGAGTGTTATTTTTACCCTCGTCATAGGAAAGAAGGACACACTAGTGATTTTTTACACCTGGTTGGTATGATAAACAAAAAGAAAAAGAAAAGAGAAAGAGAGAGATAAAGAAAGGAAAGATAAAAAAAAGAGAAAGAAAGAAAGAAAGATTTCAAGGCAGAACGATCGTGTCATTCGGCAGCAAGATCAAATATTGTCGCACGGCGTTCTGACGTTCGAACGACGTGTCGAGCAAACATCCCCCTTTCCACGTGACCACCCTCTAGCTTCCTTTTCATCCCCTACTTCTATATCAACCATAGAACAACTTAGTCGTTCTGATACGTCGGCCGATCAGAGTTCACCTCGGTCACTCGAACTGGTTAGACATGTCCTTCGATATTCTAATCATTTCATCATCAAATTGATCTTCAATCCTTATATTATTTCACTTAATACGGGCGGTTGGTGAAGTTTTTTCTATTTAGATCTCAACGTTCTAAAAGATGGGTAAGTTTTGTTGATAAGTATTATAATTTTTTTTTTGTTCGTCGAAACGAAACCCAATTTTGATATTTTATATCTAAATAATAATAATATTCACGATTTAATAATCAAGGTCGATAGAATTTTTCATTCTGCGTAGAATGAATTTTTTCTTTTCGCGATCTTTTTCTCTTCAGAAAATAACAAAAAAAGAAAAAGAGAAAAAAGAAAATATTTCATTAGAAATTTCAATTAGAAATTTCAATTAGAATTCCATTCGATAGAAACGTATAATAACGATCGATTATATCTTAACACCTGTATATATACTTGTTCAAGATAAGATGCATGATGGTACAAGGATATTCCTATATTTCTTTCGTCTCTATTATCTCCAAGGATATAATAATAAATCGTTCGTTTAACGGTTTCTTTTAACGTAGGAAGAACATTGCCCACGCCTGTCGCTTGCAAAGTTTGCGGTGATCGTTCTTATGGGAAACATTATGGCGTTTATTGCTGCGATGGTTGTTCATGTTTCTTCAAAAGATCCGTACGTCGTGGCACACTCTTCACTTGTATAGGTCAGCTATTTTTGTCTTGTTTTTTTTCTTCGTTTGATTGTTGTCGTTCTTCAATATCGAAATATATTATACGATATAATAATAATAATAATAAAAATAATAATAATAATAATTTTCTATCCGTAATAAATAAATTGAAAATATTTGTAAGTTTCCATAGAAGGAAAAAGAAAAAAGAAAAGAAAACGTCTTGTCTAACCGAAGTATTACAAGATAATAATTAGCAAAATACTTTATCGCTAAATAAATAAAACATTTCGAGAATTAATAAAAATACTATTATTATTTTATTCTGTAGCGAGGATGATAAACAATAAAGTTAATACTTGTTCGCAGCAAGTACAGGAACTTGTGCCGTTGATAAAACGCGAAGAAATTGGTGTCCACATTGTCGATTGAAGAAATGCTTTTCCGTCGGCATGAACACGGCAGGTAAATGGTATTATTTTTATTTTATAAACAATATAAATTGCGATATATAAATGTTCCTATGAATAATGAATATTTGTTTTTCTTTATTTTTTTTTTGTTCCTTTACATCAAACTATATACAGATTTCATAAATAGTAAAATCAAAGAAATCGTTTTTTATTAAGATTTAATAGTTTCATATGTCATTAATTGAAATAAACATTTTAACGATTCATTTAGCTATATTTTTTTCGAACAACATGATCTACAAAATTAAAAAAAAAAAGAAAAAAGAACAAAATAAATCATTTTTATGAAAGTTAAAAAATATGTTATGCCGTATAGACGGCATAAATTGTTTAATGTCATTTTGTTATCTTCAACATTACCCAACAAAAATTGTAATTGAATTTGTTCGAAATTAAACTATTCACAATATACGTAATTTCTAAATAAAAATCAGAATTCTCAGGCTTGAGACAGGTGATAACGAGTACAACGAGATGCAAACAAGGACACGTGTCAGAACTGGTTAACACGTGCTGACACTTCCGTGATTACTGTCGAGTTAGTCTCGGTACGTTTAATCGACAATCGACTTACAAAACTATACGATTTTTTCTCACATATAATAATATTATACCGAAAATGACGAATTCATTGAGACACATTAATAACGGTAAAATAAATTATTTAAAAAATTGAGAATTCTTGTATTTATTGGATATTAATATAAAATTTCCAAACTTTGTCGATAAATTCACAATGATATATGATTTAAAATCAAATTATTTAATTAATAGATATATTTGAAAAATTCAAAAGTTTGATCGTTTGTTGTTTAAAATTTCAAAATTGTAACAAAAGTAAATCAATTTGAAATAAGTCAAATAAAATTGATTAATTAATTAATTACTAAGAAAATTTAAAGAAATCTGATTCTATAACGCTTAAAGTACTAAGAAAGTAATAAAACTAAATTAATTCCAAGTAAATTAATTTAATTATTATAATTAATATTAAGAAAATTGATGAAAAAGTATGACCCTGCAATGTTCAAAGTTCTAAGAAAGTAATAAAACTAAATAAATTCCAAATAAGTTTATAAAATTAATTCAATAATATTACAAAAATTCTTAAGAAAGTTTAACTACATGCGACGCTAAAAGTTCCATGAAAATAATCCATCGATCGTAACGAACGTTCCCAAGTGATATTTCGGTAAATAAAACGACGACAGCTCGGAGAAACCACAATGAACAATCAAATTACATCAAGTGTCATTGTCGTGGTCATAACTCGTGAACGAACGAAGTTTATTTACCTTTTGACGGACAGCTTAAAGGTGTCTTTACACACGGCATATACGATTACATCTCTAAATAGAGAATAGTTATCAAAAGATTACAAATGATTAGTGTCTTGTTGAAAAATAGAAAGAAATTGTAAATTTTAATTATGAACAAAAATAAAATTGTTCAAGAGGAAAAAGGATTGAAAATATATTTATCAAAAGATTAAAAAGATTTTATTAAAAAAAAAAAAAAAAAAAAAAGAAAATAAAAATAATCTATATGAATATTAACTATGAACAAATAAAATTGTTTTAATTGTTGATTAAAAATATAGTTCTGAAAAGATTATAAACGATTTCTATTTTGTTAAAAAAAAAAAATAATAAAAAATAAAAAAAAATAAAGATAATTCATATACATTTTAACTGTGAACAAATTGTTTACAGCTGTTCAAGAAGAAAGAGGACCACGTATACGAAATCGAACTATTTCATCGTCGAATAACAATAATTCAGACATTATTTGGAAATCAAGAAACAATCCAAGCGACTCTTGTAAAAGATATCTAAATACATTCGAAATTCCTTTAATATTTAAAACAAATACGATGAGTACATCCATAAAATCGTTTTACGAGCCACGAACAGACAACGATGCTTTACTTCCTGCGATCCTACGACATGTACAACCTCCAAGATTCATTGCACCTGGTAATTATATAGAAAAAAAAGAACTTTCACGATGTTGCAATAAATTATCGATAGATGATATTGCGTTAAAGTTTCACATAGAAACAATAATGGCTTCTGGGAGGGGAGTATCTCTTTCATATTTTTATTTTCAAATTATTTTTCTTTTCTCTATAAAAAAAATATATATATATTTATAAAAAAATATAAATAATAAAAATATATATTAATAAACATTCTATTTAATACAATTAATATGGACATATTAATAAACGTATTAAAAAATTTACTATAAAACGTATAATAAAATATATATTTTTATTATTTATAAATTATATACATATACATATATATATATATATATATATATATATATATATATATTAATATTACAAATGGTTTAATTTACTAAAAATTTACTGAAAATACGAATAAAAATGTTTCAATATGCTCATTAAGATACATTTTTAAAATTTTAATAAAAAAATGTTTCTCAGGTGATGCCATTAGATATGAAATTTCGGCACAAATATTTCTCGCTACGATACGCGGGGCTCGACGACATCGTGATTTTTCAATTCTCGACATCGAAGAACAAAATGTGATTCTACGGAAAGCATGGTCAGCGGTATTCGTTTTACGTGCCGCTACTTGGCCTTTCGATTTAACGAATCTCGGTATTACAAATCCAACAGGAAACGAAAGTGCTTTCGTTTCTTTACAAGCAGCACGTACTACGATCTCCAATTTGCGTCTTGATGACACTGAATTGTCCATTTTGGAGACCTTCGCTTTATGTCGACCTGGTAAACGTATAAGAATTTTTTTTCTATATTTTGTTTCTTTTTCTTTGTCGCAATTACGAACGTGAAAGTGATTAAAATTATATATTTTTTCGTTCGGAATTATTTATATAATTAAATTTTTTCTTTTTTTACAAGATCCTCGCCATGATTTTTTATTATTTTATCATTCAACGAAAGAAATTGAATGTAAAACTAACTGGCATTGCGCTATTTAAAAATATCAAAACAACTTCGATTTTTAGCGAAGATGTAATTAAACATTTTTACTAATACAATTTGTTACTGATAAAGAATTAGTAATTAATATTTAAACAAAAATTGTCTTTTTCTTTTTTAATGTAGAAATCGCTCGTACTACAGATGGCATTCGATTGATAATGAAAGCAAGAGAATCAGCTGTGGAAACTTTTATCGGCCATCTTCGAAAACAAGGTGATCGTGGTCATAGATTAACGCAAATTATGTTTCTATTACCTATCCTTACTGGATGCTGTCCCGGAGAATTATCTAATGATCTTTTTGCGCCTATAATTGGTAATATCGATCTCGAAAGAGTAATAGCATCGATACGATAATCGATAGATTGACTCGATAAATCAATCCTAATTGAATACAAACGTAGAAAATAAACATATAACTTGATCGATGTTTTGTTCTAGTTAATAATCTAATTTATTTATTTATTCTTCGATAAATTTAAATATATATATATATATATACATATGCATGTATGTGTATGTCGATAATTATGTTTGTTTAAGATCATGATAAATAAATAAAATATTCATGAAAGAAAATTTATGAACATTTTTTGTGCTAAGAAAAAAAAAACAATCTCATTTTTCTAACGATTTTTCTCTGGAAAAAAAATGTATATTAATAAAATGTGCTTGTACTTTTCTTTGGCACTTTATTAATCCGAAATAACAATGTGCAAAATGTTATATACAAATTTCTAAAATTATATATGGCGTAGAAAAACGACTTTCACAAAAGTGAAATATGAAATCAATATTTAAATATAATCCAATCGCGTATTGTATATTAAATTAGCATTAATATATATATATGTATGTATGTGTGAGTGTGCGTGTGTATATAATAAGTAAAAATCAATAGAAGAAATAAATTGGAAAGAATCTAATCAACTGTCCGATTTTTATCCAATTAATTCTGAAAATGATTTCCATTAGTATAAAAAAAATTAATAAATTATATGTAATAAAGAAATCATTTGTCATTTTTGCATCGGATCGAGACATCCACTTGCAACAATAAAATAAGTATATAATAAATATTAATTATAAAAGAAATGAACTTATTGTTAGAAAATTATAGCACGTAATAATAACTAATTGCATCGACCGTAATTAATTCATCTAATGAGTAATTCTTACTTCACAAGTAAAAATTATTGTCGATTTTAGATTTACAAAACATAATAATAATAATAATAATAATAATAATAATAATAATAATAATAATAATAATAATAATAATAATAATAATAATAATAATAATAGTAAATATTGAAAAAAATGCGTTCGCCGATTCTACCTATTACTCAACAATTTAACACATAATCACTTAAGTAATATGAAACAATGCTCAGTGGGCGAGATCCAACTTTTGTGATTAATATTAACAAATAAATTAATCACGGACATAATTACGGTCATTTATACAATATATAGCGTTAAATCTACTTTATTGAAAAAAAAAAGAACAAAAACTTTTTTAAACTACTATATTAGACTCCTACAAGGCAAATATTTATAAAAGAAAATTTTTATCAAACTATGAGAATAAAATCTACATTCTTTCTTCTCTTTTCTCTTGAACTATTGCACGTTTAAATATGTTAACTAAATGAGTTACTGCACTTGATCTCAAACGAACTTAGAATATATTATATACGTCAGACTAATGCAGGAATGATCATCGGAAATATGAGGTATATCAAAAAATCCGCTTTTGACTACATATGGACACAAAGGATTTCAAAGCAATCCTTTCAAATCGTATTTCACTTAGTCTCTAAAATACAAATTTGACCTAGAAATCTTGTTAACATAATTAAGAGGCACCAAAGGTATTATTACTATACTTCTATATCCTCCAACCAAACGAACAATACGATACTAATCTGCTGATTATTAATAATACTTCTTTTTGTATTTGCGATATTTTTCTTCTTCGGACTGTCTGCGCATTTGACTTATAAGATTAGTTGGTACATACCATAATTTGTCGGCATTTATAAGTAATGCTTCTGTTACCCGACAACATATGGCAGCCATATTAACTTGAGCATTTAAATCAGAACGATCACTTGGATGCACATAACGTGGTGGAAATAGCGATGGTGCTACTATCATCGCTACATTATGAATTGACATTTTATTTGAATTCTGATTATCGATAATCAATTTAAAAAAGGTTAACAATATTTTTAACGTGCATCGATGCTCTATTGGTAAAAGTAGCACCAATAAGTTTAAAGAATATGACAAATCGGTAGGATTCTTTACTTCTGAAAATAATAAATGTATAACATTGTTAAAATTTTATTATAAACATAATATCGACCATCGATATATCAATAAATTATTTACCATGACTTTGGTAAAAAGCATCCATAAGTTCCACTGTAAGAAGCGGTTGAGGTAAGTCACGTAATAATTTCTTAAGAATTGCTGAAAGATCGTGACATGGTATGCGTTTAAATAAATTATCAATTTCCTTTGGCTTGCTGTAAAAATCTGTTTCTAATTCTGTACATATCAATTCAACCTGAAAACAAAAAAATTAACAGTACATTAATAAGATAAAAACAGGACACTGTGCTTCATTTATTAATCCATATATATATACATACATACCTTTTGTTTATGACCACCAACTCTAAGAATACCTTCTTCTTTTACTCCACGTTTAGACAATTCACTGAGAACTTTTTGGAATACTAAAGGAATGTTACTTTCTTCATTTGTTAATTGGCTATCCCTGAGTAATAAAGTTGATAACGATACACCAAATAAATTCCCAGCTATAAATATAAATGTTATTTTAAATATAATACAAGTAAATTAAAATAATTCTATTAAGAAAAATTTCAATAACAATTCAAACCTTTTCTCCTACGTTTGTTTGGTTTACGTTTTTTAAGAGGTACATTATATTTATCAAAAACTGCTGTGAGTTCAAGCCACAAAAGTGGCTGTAATCGTGTTAAATCACGTTGGGATAGTGATTCTATACGTTGTTGAGAAAAACCATCATTGGTTGGAAGATTTTCTGTTACCCATACTTGTGACTTTGTTTCATTTGCCCTGCACATTTGTTCAAAACTCAGATGACCATGCGACGAAGTACGATTTAATGGATGAGATAATAAATTCTCATCTTTAGACGTTGACAAACCATACAAACTACTATGACTCCTAGAAACAGTTGCATGACCTCCTGAAGCTCTTCTAAAGAAAACAAAAAAAATGCAAAGATAAAGTAATACATGCAAAAACGCAAAACAATATACTTGCACATTTGAAGCTTTATATTTAAAAAAAATTACCGCAATGTCGAATCTTTAGAAACTGTTAATTTTCCAATATTTTCATTATCTAAATTTGCTGTATTTGCTACTTCACTAGGATCACTACCACTACGTTTTTGAATAGGTGGTCTAGAAAGATGTATTGTTCCTAATCTGTGATAGCCAGTCAGCTGGATACCTTCTGCAAATACATGCATATAAATTGAATTGATAACATTTCATGCAATAAACAAAACCATAAAAGAAAAATCATTAAACCATCATTTAATGTACCGGAATCATTAGCAACATCTCCCCGAGAGGAATGACCAGTACGCCTAAAGATTTCTTGAACAGGAACTGGAGCATTTGTCAAAACTGGCACAGAATTTGTAGCTGTTGTTGGTGCACTTGGTGTTCTTCTAACCGTCTCCTTTCCTTCATTTGAAGAACGATGAAATATTGATACAAAACTGGGAACATTGATACTAACAAAAACCAAAAGTATGTTACATTTATTATTTACTATTTATCATGATAATATATTAATATGATAATTAACCTTGTTTGATGATCAATTACAGTTATTGATGGTTGTGAAGGAGGTGAAGCATTTTCTGGTGTTTCGCCTGGAATAGAATCTAACGAATCAGGTGTAGCGCTTCTCGATCTTGTACCTGTACTGGAAATCTATTAAAAACAATTCTTATATGACGATTTAAATTTGATAATTAATTATAATCTTTATATACATAAAATATATAAAATACAAAGAACTTTGCAAACCTCCACATCTTTGAACACATCTCTGATGTCTGGTTTCCTTACACGTTGTCGTTGATTGAAACGCTGTTTAACGGTATGATTGAGAGATTTAACTCTTCGTTTTACAGCTTCTGCTTGTGCTCTTGAAAGAGGACGTAAAGCAGCTCCTAATTCTTCTGGTTGAACTTCTCTACCTGCTTTCCATGGCTCAGTTAATTCTCCTAAGCCTGCGGCACGTAACCATTCAGCTTCCTCTTCACCTTCTTAAAATTTTAAACGCATTAAAAACAAGGCCTCTATTGGACAATTTACTATATTACTAATTTACTATATTAATTCTAACAATATAAAAGTTATAAATATAACCAACCATCATAATTTCGTGGACATTCTTCATCAAGATAATCATCTAACATCTTAGTTTCTTCAATCATTTTCTGATATTCTTCCCAATAATCTAATAAATGGGTATCTACCCCAATATAAGTAGCACTTTGTACTTTATCCATGATTTATTTGCTCTCACACTTTTTATTGTATTGTATATTCAATATAAATATAAATAGAAAAGAAAAAGCAAATATATTTAAAGGTTTCTTCTACTGTTCATCTTCAATATCTGAAATAATGATGAATCTTATTATCTATATTTTATATTATCAAAATTCACACACACACTTAAACCAATCTTTGACCGATTACAAATGAAAAGAAGACGTTGACAAAAAATAAATACAATCAAATAAAACAATAAAATACAATTAAATATATAGTCGAAAATTATATCATTTGTGAAATTATCATTGGAAACACAAAACATGATGATAAGAAAACGTAGTTGTAAGATATGAGAAAAACACTAAGTGACTTGACACATTTGCCCATTGATTATTCATATTAAATGTAAACACAGATGAATTATACAACAATCAAGGCCATTTTCCTTAATTTGATGATGAAATTCTAAAGCATATTTAATTGTATATGATAAATAATAAATAATGATCAAATTATTCCATATTCAATTTATAAAACAAAGAGAATAAATGTACATACATGGTAATCTATGCAATGATTATTATTTGTGACGCCTAAACATTCACCAAAAAAATGATGAGGCATAACATAGCCTTGACGTCGTACTGTTATTCTTATGACAATATGTTCGTGCATAGAGTACGTACGATTCGAAACAAGATTTCCCTCTGTCGGTGCTTCGACGATGCAAGAATGGTCATCGTATTCCGAAAATAAATTTCACATCGGCCGCTTCAGATAGTACTACTGCTTACGCGCCAAATGATAAATAGAAAAGAGTCATCATTCGGTCTTCTGCATAAGAAAAGTAGCTACGTATTAGAGATACAAAATAACTTTTAGCAGGAGCGTGTCCGTGAAACTTCAACGTAAGCGCTAACGATTTCTCGAGGCTAGCTACTTCTTGGAAGTTGTAATTTATTCGAAACGTGTCTTCGAATTACGCCCATTGCTGCGAAGATTACATTCGGTTTTACGTTGTGGAGACGACATAATGCGCAAGATGTAACAGCAAATAAACGAATTAAAATTCAAATCTTTCTAATCACTTGAAAACATTTGAAAAATATTTTTCTTACTCGAAGAAAGATTATAAATCTTTCAAAATTGTTAATCTCTTATGAATCTTCAAAATGATCAAAAGATCAAAGGCTCACTACGAAACGATAATGCGAAATCTAGCGTTTTCTATTTGCACTTAATGTGCTAACGGATGCACTTTAAATTTCAACACACCGGAAATAGTTATTGTAATGTAAGATAGTCGAGAAGAATTCTAACATAGAAATATTCATCCTGTTGAAGTTATTTCACGATTTAACGAATCGAAGTGTTTTCCTGTTTCTTTATCTTTCGTATCATCCGTTTCACAAGAAATATTAATCCTAATAAATAATTATTTATATGGAATCGATTAGATCAAATGATGGATAATATGATAGATATTTTATCTTCAATCATGTATAATATTCAAAACTTATAAAACTTATTACATTCTTATCATTCACATTTACATTAGACATCACATTCTACATTATCGACGATCGATTATAAACCGATTGTAACATTATATCATCGATAGAAATTATTAAGAAAATTAACTTACAACTTTATCTTAAAATTATGTTCAAACAATTTAAATATAAATACAATTAACACAATCAATTAACTCGACAGTATTTTCATGTATTTTTGTAATTTTATTATATGCAAATAATATCGATTGTCCTGATCCTCAGAGGTTGCTACGTATGGAGATCCATAACTTCAATAAAATGATTACAAATTCCAAGGAAAGAGAAACTTTATTGACATTTTATTGACAATAAAAGATTGATTTTTTATGTCTGGGTTGCATTTAACGAAGGCCATACGCATATAATAAAAACACAAGCTGACAATTTAGCGACAAGGGCATGTAATACTTTAATATTATAATTCTTTATTTGATTCGTATGAAAAATACATAAGATCGATCGATACGACGTGGAAAATATAAACATTAGGAAGCTTGTGTCATTCAATACGATAGCTGCGTTTTTCCCGCGAGAATGAAAAAGATGACATGGCGGTTTAAATTTCATTGGATATTTTCCTATGTTTGTATCACGTGACTCTGTTAATAATTGACATATTTCAAAAATTGTATCGCACACTTCAAAATATCAACATATATTTTAATTATATTAAAAAATAAGTTAATAAAAAGAAAATTATAAATTGAAATATATGAATTTTTTCGAAGGAAACAATATTAATTAAGTTCTCATTTAAAACATATGTGTATATATAACAATATATATTAACCTTATTTTATTATTGGAAAATTACTTTCATATTTTGTCATTATGAATGAGTTAAATTTATCTATAGAGATATTTATATATATATTGTTTCACATGATTTATTTAAAGAATACAAAGTCAATCATACGTGGACGTGATCATATGGTGAAATTAACGAAGTAATGCTAATTTAATAAACATAACACCTATAGTTGAAACTAAAATACGTCAGCACAAATGATTTAATCTTATTACTTAGAGAATTTCAAACGTATTTTAAAACTCAAAGATATTTATATATAATTTATAAAAGAAAGATTAAATAAAATAATTTTTTATCTTCTAATGTCAAAATATTTTTTTCTATCGTTGCTGTGCTAATAATATAAAGAAAATATATTTATATTTTTTTATTCATAAATTTTCATTATTCATAAATAGAAATGTAAAATATATGTTCAAAAAATTATATTCCTCTATGGATTATAATCGATACTGTCAATTTTTGAAATTTCACAGTAACATTTCAATATGGTGCTATAACAAATATTCTAATTGTCTTTTTCATTAGCAAGTATTTGGTTTTGCTGATGAAAATTTTCCATTTCCACTTCCAAATACAGAAAGTATATATTATGAACCACTCTCACATAGATAAGTGGGAGTAGTGTTAATAATAGATCTTCAGGCCTATAAAAGTGCTGACAAAAGTATTATATATCATTCAAAATGTATAGTAGTGAAAAATATGATCAGCCCTTTGTGGCTCCTGTTCGATTGTTTTATATACTGTTAATTTTCATGTGTTTGTCGACTGAAATAATCACAATACCGTTATCTACACCTATGCAAGAATATCAAGATTATACTACAGAGAATATGTTGGCAGAAAACTCAACAGATGACAACTTGTAAGTTAACATTCAAAAATATATAACAACTACGAAACCCAAAATTATAATAATTATTAATAACAATAATGATATTAATATTTTAGATATATTATAAGAGCAGTAGTATATGAAATTGGAGTTTTAACGGATACTAATAATAGTACTGATGAAAATCCAGAAAGGTAATATAAGTATAAATAATACAAAAATATAAATATGAATCTAAAAATCTTGTACTTTAATTTCTTTTACCTTTTTATGTAATTTTGAAATATTATTTCATACATCATTAAATTATTTCATCAATTACTAACTTTTTAATTATTACCTTCTTATAGAAATGAAGAAGTTAACATTTCAATTTATAATCCACCGCATAAAGAAAATGGATTGTTAGATTTGGATAAAGTTTCAGTATCAACTGAAAATACTTTGAGTACAGAAGAAAGTAATGCAGGAACATAGTATAATAATACGATAGAAAGTAATTTTCATTAATGATATGCAGTTGAATGAAAAAAATTAATTATTTAATGTGTACATATATGTTTAATTATTTATAAATTAAATATACTTATTTAAAAACATCCTTGTGTATTGTTTCTTTTCATTCATATATTGTTTCTTTTTCATTTATTGACATAATTACTCAATAAAAGAATATATAAAAAGATATAATGTTCTTAAATATTTATAATTTTATTATTTAAACTTATAATACTTCTTAATTTTGATAACAGCGAACCTATTGGCAAAGGAACGTAACTTGTACTTATTTTACATAACCTCAATTTCGTTGAACGTGGCGGTTCAAACAATTTATAACTGGTGTGCCAAAGAAATATATTATAATATATTATATATCTTTCAATATAGAAAGAATATGAATTTTTAATATTAATCGATGACATAATATTTTACACTTACTTCAAAGATGAATGTTACTCGATTAAATCACTCTTCCAGGGAACATCTTTACAAATGCCTTTTTAAAAGTTATTGTAATCAAAAATTAAATGGTATCGAGAGTGTTATTTCTAATATTTTTATAATATATATATATTAAACATAAAATTTCAATAAATTATAAAAACATTGTATTTCCTGTAGATTTTCCAAAAACGTTTCCATCAAAAGATGTACTTAAGTGGTATCAGTTATGGGAAAAGAATAATTTTTTCCCTTCACAAGATTGTAATAAAGAACCATTTAAAATGATATTACCACCTCCTAATATAACAGGTACATTACACATAGGGCATGCATTGACTGCAACAATACAGGATGTTTTAGCAAGATGGTATCTATAATTTAATTAATTTATTGATTAGCATATTTTAATCGGATTTACTTCTATTAACATTCAATTTATACCTTATTATTGCATAGGTATAGAATGAATGGTTATCCTGTAATATGGATACCCGGATTAGATCATGCTGGAATTGCTACACAAGTTGTAGTAGAAAAATATCTTTATAAGACTAAAGGTTATATAAAAACTGATATAGGAAAAGAACAATTTCTTTCTCTTATTTGGGAATGGAAAAATGAAAAGGAAAATATAATAAAAAATCAACTAAGATTATTAGGAAGTAGTGTTGATTGGTCTAAAGAATATTTTACTATAAATAAGGTAATAAACTATATAAACTTTTTAATTTTAATTATGTTATTTAATGTAAAATCATGTTTTAATTTATAGAATCATAATTTTGCAGTAACTGAAGCATTAATTAAATTGAATGAAAAAAATATGTTATATAGAGATAAAGATTTAATAAATTGGTCTCCATCATTACAAAGTGCTATATCCGATATCGAAGTTGAGTTTATAGAATTAACAGGAAAAACAGAACTAGAAGTTCCTGGTTATAAAAAAAAAGTAACGTTTGGACAATTAATCAAAATAGCATATCAGATTAAAGATTCAGGTATTGAAATGTATTTTATTTGTTTATATTTCAATTTATCATTAATTATCATAATTTTTGTAATTTTATAGAAAATGAATTAATTGTTGGAACAACTAGGCCAGAAACTTTACTAGGAGATGTAGCTATAGCTGTCCATCCAGAAGATGATAGATATAATAAATATATCGGTCAATATGTTTGGCATAATCTCAGAGAAACTTTTATACCTATAATTGGAGATACCTCTGTTAACATAACATTTGGAACCGGTAAATAATTCAATAACATAAAATATTTATTAAACCAAATATCAATTATAAAACTTGATATATTGCAAAATGTAATCATTAGGTGCAGTCAAAATTACACCAGCGCATGATCATTTAGACTACAAAATCGCAAAAGATCATGGATTAGAAATCATTGATACTATTGATGAACATGGAAATATAATAACAAATAATGATAATTATAAGGTATAACAAAATTCATTTTATCATAAACTGTACTTTACTTTGATCTTATTAAATAATCTAATACAATATTTGTTAATACATAAAAGGGCCTTCCAAGATTTTTGGCACGTGATAAAATATTAAATGAATTAATTAACAGAGGCCTTTTAAGAGACATAGAAAGTCACAAAATGATTTTACCTACATGTTCAAGATCTGGTGATATTATCGAATATTTATTAAAAGAACAGTGGTTTGTTAGATGTAAAGATATGGCTCAAAAAGCATTACAAGCTGTAAAAGATGGATCTCTAAAAATTGATCCTAATATTCATGAATCATTATGGTATAATTGGTTAGAAAATATTAGGTATACTATATAATTTGAAACATATTTAAGATTCATTTTTAATTAGAAATAAATAACATCATATTATCAGAGATTGGTGTATTTCGAGGCAATTATGGTGGGGACATCAAATTCCAGCATATGAGATAAAGACTGACCAAACATCTGAATGGATAATTGCACATTCACAAGAAGATGCATTGCTTATCGCAAAAAAGAAATATGGTGCTCATGTTGAAGTACATAAAGATAATGATGTTTTAGATACATGGTTTTCTTCTGCACTCCTTCCTTTTACTACTATGGGTTGGCCACAAAAAGTAATTATTTAATACATGGCCGAAATTAATGAAAAAAGCATTGTAATATAAATACTACAGATATATTTCAGATGGAAGATTTTAAAAAGTATTATCCTCTAACACTAATGGAAACTGGACATGATATACTCTTTTTTTGGGTTGCACGAATGGTAATGTTAGGATTAGAACTAACAGGACAACTACCTTTTAAAGTAATTCTACATTTCCTAAATATAAATTCTATCATGCATCTGTTTACATAAAATGATTATAAACATAAAATGATTGTTTGTATAGGAAGTTTTACTTCATGGTGTCCTATGTGATGCTCAAGGAAAGAAAATATCTAAGAGTCTTGGTAATGTTATTTCTCCTGAAAATATTATTAATGGTATATCTTTGCAGGTATATATATATAATTGAAATTGATTAGATTATAACAATAAAATATAATAAAACATTTCATACTATACATGTTAAATAATTAATTGTTTAACAGGATTCTTTATATTCGTAGGATCTCAATGAACAATCGAAAGAAAGTTATAATGCTGGAATTCTTAATAAAACAGAACTTAAACGAACTTTGACAGTTAATGGTAAAATGTTTCCTTATGGAATATCAGCTTGTGGAGTTGATGCATTACGTATAACATTATGTGCTCATAATATTAAAAGTAAATAGTTTATAATGTAAATAAGCACATTAATTTACTTCAAACGGTTAATAATTTAATTCTATTATTTTAATAGATCGTACCATCTCGTTCAATATTATTGAATGTCAACAAAATTATTTCTTTTGTAACAAAATTTGGCAAGCAAGTAAATACATATTGTTAATGACAACTCCAAATAAGTACTGCAAACCTGAAAGATTTACAACTTTAGATTCTTGGATTTTAAGTCGATTATCATTAATGGTAGAAGAAGTTAATACAGCTTTTATGCAACGAAATTTTTATAAAGCAGTTGCTGCAATAAAACAATTTATCTATTACGAATTTTGTGATATTTACTTGGTAAGACTACTTTTATAGTAAAATTATTTATCATTATAAAACAATATAAGGAAATAGTCGATATCAATACATTTTTTACAGGAAGCAACTAAATGGGGCTTCAAAAGCAATGAAGAACTTGTGATTATAAGCCACACGTACACATTAATCAATTGTTTAGAAGTGTCTTTACGAATTCTTACTCCTATTACACCATTCCTAACTGATGAGTTGTACTCAAGACTTTCAAAACAATTACCATCCTTTTTATCATTGTCTTCATTATCAGAAGCATCTTATCCTACAACAGAGGAGGTAGAACTATAAATTTTTCTTTCTTAACTCTTCTTGTTTTTAATACTTATAAAAGGTATGAAACATTTGTATGTTTACAGTTTAAAGATTTACGAAACAAATTGTTGGATGAAAGAATGAACAGTGTAATAAATCTAATAACTGGAATTAGAAGTTTTACAGCTAATATCAGCAAAAAGCTAGAGCTAGAAGGTATAATCATAGTAATACAATAAAAATAAATTTTTTTTTAATATCTGTATTTTTCTAGTTCACGTTGTAGTGGATAATTCTGAAGATCATGAATTTTATACAAAGAATATAAATGCAATTAAAGGAGCTAGTAGATTATGGAATTTATCAATATATTTAAAAGAAAATTATGTTGAAAATACAAATAGTATTCTAGAAGAATTTAATTCCAATTGTTCTCTATTCTTATCAGTACAGGTATGCTATAGTAAACTAATTAAATTTTATATTATTAGGTAAACTTGAATGTAATTAAAATATGTAATTCTTTTCATTCAGGATAAATCAACATTGGATGAGATATTACAAATTATAGAAAAAAGAAAAATGAAAGTAAAAAATAAATTAAGACAAGAACAATGTAAACAGAAATAGAACTCTCTATAGGATATATATATTATTACAAAGAAAAGAAAATATTAAATCAACCAATTTTTTGATATAGAGAAAAGTTACATAATTTGAACATTACACTTTTTGTCTTGTTTCCAAAGAGTCCAGAAAATTCCTATAGTGATATATAAAAAGCAAAAAGTATACACATAAATTTATTTATATTTATATGCGTATCAGTATGAAAATGGTCAACATGTTTTTACAACAGAAATATTTCTATTATATAAGAGATACATGTAATAGAATTCAATAGAATTTTAATCACCTAAAATATCTGAATAGTTTGCAAGTTAATTTCAATACACGTTTTAAATATCACATTACATATGGTACAGGTAATAATTTTTACTTTATGAAATAGAATGAATTTATTGTAAGAAAACAAACGATCCATGAGAAAATGCTTCTGTAAAACGTGAGGAAAAAATATAAGGAGTCCGCAAATACTACTTGTGGAACTTCGAACAATGCTTTTTCATTTATTAATTAATTATGTACAGAATCTCGTGTACAGTGCTATAAACACATTTCTATAGTGACACTTGTAAGGCAGAAGAGTGTTGTGTTGCACAAGAAACATATTTCACAGAACTCTTTGTTTAAGAAATTATGATTAAATGGA